CCCATTTTCAAAACAAGAGTTAGAACAGAACTGACTACTGAATTTTCTGTCCACGTCCTTTCAATTCTATTCCATCTTCATCCTACCTCATGAATGTTCTTCAAAGTTTCTTGCATATGGAGGGTGTCTTAGGCTGGGTTCTCTAGAGAAGCAAAACTCGTGAAGCATGGATCTCTATATTATATACATATATAATAGAGAGAGATTTATCTCAAGGAAATGGTTCACGTGGTTGCAGAGGCTGACCAGTCCTGAGTCCATGGGTTAGGTGTCAGGCATCAGACTGGAGGCTCTTCTCCTGACCCACGAATCCACAGAGGCCGACAAACCCAAGATCCACAGGTCAGACAGCAGGCTGCTGGCTCATGGGTGGGAAGAATGATGAATCCAGGATTGGTAGGCAAGATGGCAGGCTGCTGGCCCAAGTCCCAAGAACCAGAGGTCAGATGCTGATGAGCCAAATGTAGGATCTAGAGCACAGCAAAAGCCAGCAAACTTTGCCAGAAAGTCCACATATAATGGATGTAGGCAACACCCCCAAGGAAACTCCCTTTCAACTGACTGGCTAAGCATGGAGGTGATTACATTCTATCAGATCTCATCATGGAAGTGATTACATCATTACATCATAACTGCCATACCACTGAGAATCATGGCCTAGCCAAGCCGACACACAACGTTAACAATCACAGCGGGTACCTCCTTCTAGTTTCCAGGGCCTGTGCCGGCTTTTTCCCATTGTTCCATTGTAAAGCCTGGACTCTCTAGGGATATGGAGGGACTAAGCAGCTGTGATTATGTTGCAATCTTTTCCAGAAACCACAACTACTTCTGTCTGACTCTATAGCCCCCCTGTCTTATTATGCTAAGCCGAGTAAACCATGGGCCACTAAAAAATGGTAGTTTTGTTTTGTTTTTTAAGGTAAATATATGAGTTAAGGAAAGAAAAATGAAGTGGATTTTTTTTTTTTTTGAAAAAGCATCAGAAGACTAGTAAAATAAACACCCTCCACACCAGAAGAAAATGTCAACCTCTATTTTCTTATCAAAACCTATTATTTTACTTTTTTTTTTTTTTTTTCTTTTTCTTGATACATGCTAACAGCCATCTTACCTTTAAGGTCCTTAATTGACTTGCAGCTAGAACACAGAGGGAAGAAAGACATTTTCGTGCAAGGCCTAAGAATCTGAAGGAAGGTAGGGCAAGAAATGTTTGTGTGTGTTAGAACTGAGTGAATTTAAGCAAGATTGTCTCCACTGGAATTAGCTGAAATGGAAGCAAGACATGAGAGAAAATGTAGAGCCTGGTGAGAACAAAATAGTCATGAAGGCAGAGAGGTGGCTCCAGGTACAAGAGTGGGACAGAACCATTAGAGGGCTATTGGGAAGCAAGGGAGAACATGGGGCAGGTGGGTGGAGCAGGATGTAATGTGGTGGCCAGGGAAGTGCACCCCTCTCTGGCCATCACCCATCATGGCACCAAGGGAAAGAGGAGCCTGGGGGGTCTTGGCAATCAGTTGTTGACATGTTTGGGGCACCACATGATTAGGAGTGGGGAGAGCCTAGGCTAGATTAATTATCATTAATAATTAAGTTGCTCAGGTTCACCATCTTAAAGAAAAACCTAATGACACTTAATTGCAAATTAGGGGAATTTAAATCTGTTTTCATCATCTATTACTTGCTCAGTGATACCCAGGAATAAGACTTATCAGGTTTCTTCTACTTTTCTGAATTGACTAAAACATTGAAGCCCCCCTCCCCAACTTAGGGTCTTAAAAGAACCCCAGGCTAACTCACTCACTAGAGCAAGGTCTGAGAAGCCTCTTTGGTCTTTGGTCCCTCCAGGTTGCCTCTGAGGTGGACTTATCCAGGTCCAACGTGCCTGGAAGCTTTTCTGGTGGTATCCACTCCAACCTCACCACAGAGTCAGCAACCAGGACATTGGCCAAGGCTCTAATTCCTGAAGCTGCTGCTCTCAGTGCTCAAACTATTTCCATCCTACCATCAGGGGCTCTAGTATCTGTCCCTGCAACGCAGGTCATCTTCCTCCAGCCTAGCAGGCTTCTTTCTACCTTTGTGTTCAAGGTCAAGCCACACCCCTGTCATGTTCCTGCTGAAGCACAGAGGTCTCCTCCCCCTTCTCTGTGAGTGTAGGCAGAGTCTGAAAAGCCAATTCTTAATTTCTGCCTGGAGCAAGGGAGCTCAGAACTCACAACTAAAAGGACAATAGCCTTTTAATACTTACTTAAGAGTTCACAGTAACCCCTTCCCTCTTCCCTCCAAAAACCCAAATACCTCTTAATTTATCTATTACACATCCCAATATATATCATTCAGTTTCATTCCAACAGTGTAAAAGCCAGTATTATTCTTACTTTAAAAGTGATGGGAATAACAGTTAAGTAACTTGCTCAGGGTCAGCTACAATGCAGGAATCAATCTAAGATTTCAAACTCAGCCCAGTACTTGAGAAAGTCCCTGTTCTTTCTTTCTTTTTTTTTTTTTTTTCCATAAAACAACAAACATTTCTTTATCTCACACAGTTTCTGAGGGTCGGGAATTTGAGAGCAGCTTAGCTGGGTGGTCTTGGATCAGGGTCTCTCTTCAGGTTGCAGTACAGACATTGACTGGAGCTGCGTCATCTGAAGCCTTGACTGGGGTTGGGATCTGCTTCCAATATGGCTCCCTCACACAGCTATTAGCAGGAGTCCTCAGTTTCTCATAATATGGGTCTCTTCTGGCAACATGTCAGATGCCTTCCACTAGAGTGAATGATCCGAGAAAGATAAGAAGAAATCATAATGTACCTTCTGACATAGCCTTGAAGCTAGGAGGGGATACACAAGAGTGTGACTGTCAAGAGGCCATCTTGGAGGCTGGCTACTATAGGGCTAGTACTGTTGTCTGTCTGCAGGACGAGGATGAATAATAATTCCTGGTTTATTGATAAATTAATTGATCAATTAAACAATTTATAGTTCCAAATTAATTCTTCCAACTGAAGTGGTAGAGATTTGGATAATCTCAGAGAAATAACCCACCAGTTGAGTGCATTCCATCTTTTATTATGTGTTGGTTTATTCATCAACTCTTTATCACCTGCTATGTGTCAGGTAAAGAGCCCTGGTGGCACAATGGCTAAAGTGGTTGACTGCTAACCAAAAGGTTGGTGGTTTGAATCTACCAGTGGCTCCACAGGAGAAAAGACGTGGTGATCTGCTCCCATAAAGATTTGAAGCCTAGGAAACCCTATGGGGCAATTCTACTCTGTCATATAGGGTCACTATGAGTTGGAATCGACTGACAGCACACAACAACGTGTCAGGCTCTGTAATCACTCCTGGCAATACAATGGCAAGGAAAACAAATGCTGTCTCTGCCCTCCTAGAGAAGTCAATGGAGTTAGGGGAGAAAGCTATTGAACAAATAATAGCACAAACAGATATTTCATTGCAATCTGTGATGAGTGGTATGAAGAGTTTAAGTTGCTATGAAAACGTATATTATGATGGCTTAGTGTCTTAGGGCTGCTGGAACAAAATACCACAAACTGGGTGGCTTCTAAGAACAAAAATGTACTATCTCACAGATCTGGGGGCTAGAAGTCCAAATCAGGATATCAGTCATGTTGATTCTGAGGGTTCTGAGAGACAAACTACTCCATGCCTTTCTATTAGCTCCTGGAAATCCTTGGCATTCCTTGGCTTGCAGCTGTGTCTGCCTCTGTTGTCATGTGGCCGTTCTTCCTCTGGCTAATGTTCCATGTCTGTTCTCTTTCATAGCACGCTACTTAGATGGGATTAGGACCCCTCTTACTCTGATATGACCTCATGATAACCGAGAAGATCTTCAAAGATTCTATTTCCAAACAAGGTCACATTCATAGGTACCAGGGGTTAGGACTTCAACAAATCTTTTTAGAGGGACACAATTTAATCTATAGCACGTGGGAACCTAATATAATTTGAGAATCAAGGAAGGTCCTATAGCAGGGTTTCTCCACCTTGGCACTATTAACATTTTTTGTTGGGGGAAGGCAGTGATCTTGTGCATTACAGGCTATTTAGCAGCATCCTTGGCCTCTACCCACTAAATGCCAGTTGCACCCCCCACCCCAAATTGTGACAACCAAAAATGTCTCCAGACTTTACCAAATGTCCTCTGGGGTTCAAAACCATGCCCTACTCCCATTAAGAACCACTGCCCTACAGGGCGTCTCCAAGTGATGTGTTGGGGAGGGAACTTCAGGAGAAAGAAAGGCTATGTTAGTGAGATTTTTGTTGATAGATATTTCCAAATAATAAAATAAAACAGGGGAAAAAAAACCTGGTTATCTAATTCTAATTCTCAAGCTTAAATTCAGATTAGACTCTTGCCTGTATGACTTGTTAGTGCCCCTTTAAACAGAAATTCACACCCTGTAGCCAGTCCGCTTGTGCTGAATGAGGTGTCTTCATATAATTGCCAAGGAAAAAACAGGTGTGGCCTGAAGCTCTCTTCCAAAACGTTTTTTAACTTATTGAATCTCTAGGCTGGCTAAAGTTGTTTGGCCTTCAGCCTGCTGGTTTATATCACTGCCTAGAGCAGGGTATTATCACTCAGAAATACATGGCCTCACTTTTATTGGAAAGATATTTATAGGTACTGCTTATACTCTATATGAATATGTTTAATGTGGGACAGTATATAACCAGGCTGGGTATAAAGTCAGATTATTTCCACCAACGCTTGCCTTGATTTCAATTTTGAACAGACAAGAATTAGCTTGCGTGCTTAGAATTCTGAAATATTGAGTAAAAAGGGAATTAGAGGATCCAGTGGAAAAAACATGATTTGGGAAACACATACACTTTTGGGTCAAATTTGACATCAGCTCTATGATCTTGGGCACTTAAAAGAGCTTTAATTTCCTCATTTGTAATGAAGATGGTTAAGTGTTCTCCCGTATGGTTGTTATGAAGATACATAAGATTGTAACAGTGTCTGGCATACAGCAGGGGTCCAGTAAATGAAAGTTCTCTTTCCTTTGGTTTATCTAGTTCATCTCCTCTCAAGCGTCCCTAAGAGATGCTTCCTTAGAAATCTGGGGGTTACCCTGATCTAGTTCTTCCCTCCCACTCTACATCCAAAAAACCAGTTGCCGTCAGTTGATTCCTACTCATGGCAACCCCATGTGTGTCAGAGAACTGCAGGCTTGCTTCCAGATTCTTGGGCCCCCATTCCAACCAGAGTATAGCCTTTCTACTGCTGCCTCCTTGCCTCCTCCTCCTCCTCCTCCTTTTCCTTCTTCATCTTCTCCTCCTCCTCTACTTTTTTCTTCCTCTTCCTCCTCCTCCTCTTCCTTCTTCCCCCTTTCCTGTCCTAGAAAAGAAACCCATGTTCTGCACAAACCTACTAAGCCCTTTTATATATACAGGTATCCCCCACTTTTCGAAAGTTCACTTTACCCCACTTTGCTTCTATGAAAGACCTACATTAGTACCTGTTTTCTCTAACCAAAAGAAATCAGAAGAGGATTTGCACTTTTACGAAAAAAGGCAAAAAGCAAAAATGGCGTTCAGCAGGAGAGCCACACCTTTTCGCATTCCTCTGGAGTAAGCTAGAGGTTCAGTAGAGTGTCTACGTCAACGCATTCGCTGCCAGTTTTACACAGGGGCTTGACCAAGCTCCTCCTTTCAAACTCCTCTGCCGTTATTGAACGACCCAGCCACATTCAGTCAAACACTTGGTGACTCATAAACGCACCATGCATCGCAAGATCCCATCCTCGACGTGTCCCCTGCGTTTCTCTCTATGGTACTGGGTCTGGTGCATTTCTCTAACTGTACCAAAAAACAAAACAAAAAACCATTGCTGTTGAGTCAATCCTGACTCATAGTGACCCTATATGACAGAGGAGAAGTGCACCATAGGATTTCCAAGGAACAGCTGATGGATTCGAACTGCCGACCTTTCAGTTAGCAGCCGAGCTCTTAACCACTGCACCACAAGGGCTCGTCTCAAACTGTACGACTAAGAATATAAATCCCTCTCTTTTGCGGGATTCAAACCCCAGCCCTTCAATCCAGCCCCATGTGCCATTGCCAGCTACGCTAACAGGGCTACGATCGGCACTGCCACCACCTCTCAGCCTTCCAGTGTGCTCGCTGTTTTCCCAATTCTGGTAAGTGAAACTACACTGTACATACATTATTTCTACTATATCTACACTGTGCATTTATTACATCATTCCTGCTTTCACAATATATTAGTGTTAGGCTACCACCCTGATGCACGTGTTTCCTTATTTTTAAGCCAGGTAATATCCCCTTGTTCTGTTTGAATGACTGCCTCTTGGTCTATGTACAGGTTCCTCATGAGCACAGTTAAGTGGTCTGGAATTCCCATTCTTCGCAGTGTTATCCATAATTTGTTATGATCCATACAGTTGAATGCCTTTGCATAGTCAATAAAATGCAAGTAAACCTATTCCTGGTATTCTCTGCTTTCAGCCAAGATCCACCTGACATTAGCAGTGATAGCTCTCATTCCACATCCCCTTCTGAATCCAGTTTGAATTTCTGGCAGTTCCCTGTCAATGTACTGCTGCAGCCACTTTTGAATTATCTTCAGCGAAATTTTACTCATGCATGATATTAATGATATTGTTTGATGATTTTCCCATTCTTTTGGACCACCTTTCTTTGGAATGGGCACAAGTATGGATCTCCTCCAGTCAGTTGGCCAGGTAGCTGCCTTCCAAGTTTCTTGGCATAGACAAATGAGTGCTTCCAGCATTGCATCCATTTGTTGAAATATCTAAATTGGTATTCCTTCAATTCCTGGAGCCTTGTTTTTCACCAATGCCTTCAGTGCAGCTTGGACTTCTTGCTTCAGTACCATCAGTTCTTGATCATAACCTACCTCCTGAAATGGCTGAATGTTGACCAATTCTTTTTGATACAGTGATTCTGTGTATTCTTTCCATCTTCTCTTGATGCTTCCTGTGTCATTCAATATTTTGCCCATAGAATCCGTCAATATTGCAACTCAAGCCTTGAATTTTTTCTTCAGTTCTATCACCTTGAGAAATGCTGAGCATGTTCTTCCCTTTTGGTTTTCTAACTCCAGGTCTTTACATATTTCATTATCATACTTCACTTTATCTTCTCAGGCCACTCTTTGAAATCTTCTGTTCAGCTCTTTTACTTCATCATTTCTTCCATTTGCTTTAGCTGCTCTATGTTCAAGAGCAAGTTTCAGAGTCTCTTCTGACATCTATTTTGGTCTTTTCTTTCTTTCCTGTCTTTTAATGACCTTTGCTTTCTTTCATGTATGATGTCCTTGATGTCATCCCACAACTTGTCTGGTCTTCTGTCACCAGTGTTCAGTGCATCAAACCTATTCTTGAGATAGTCTCTAAATTCTGGTGGGATATACTAAAGATTGTAGTTTGGCTCTCGTGGACTTGTTTTAATTTTTTTCTGCTTCAACCTGAATGTGAATATGAGCAATTAATAGTCCATTGAACAGTCTGCCCCCCTGGCCTTGTTCTGATTGATGATATTGAGCTTCTCTATCGTTTCTTTCCACAGATGTAGTCGATTTGATTCCTGTGTATTCCATCTGGCGAGGTCTATGTGAATAGTTGCTGTTTATGTTGTTGAAAAAAGGTGTTTGCAATTAATAAATCATTGGTCTTGCAAAATTCTACAATGCGATCTCTGGCATCATTTCTATCACCAAAGTCATATTTTCCAACTACGATCCTTCTTCTTTGTTTCCAACTTTGGCAATTCAATCACTAGTAACTATCAATGCATCTTGATTGCATATCTGATCAATTTCAGACTGCATAAAGGTGGTAAAAAATCTTCAATTTCTTCATCTTTGGCATTAGTGGTTTGTGCGTAAATTTGAATAATAGTCATATTAACTGATCTTCCTTGTAGGTGTATGGATATCATCCTATCACTGACAGCACTGCACTTCAGGACAGATCTTGAAATGTTCTTTTTGATGATGAATGTGATACCATTCCTCTTCAATTTGTTGTTCCCAGCATAATAGACCATATGATTGTCTGATTCAAAATGGCCAATACCAGTCCATTTCAGCTCTTTAATGCCTAGTATATTGATCTTTGGAGCCCCGGTGGCACAGTGATTAAGAGCTACAGCTATCAACCAAAAGTTTGACAGTTCGAATCCACTAGCCTCTCCTTGGAAACTCTATGGGGCAGTTCTATTCTGCCCTATAGGCTCTCTATGAGTCAAATCAACTTGACGGCAATGGGTTTTTTGGTTTGGATATTGATCTTTATGCATTCCATTTCATTTTTGACCACTTCCAATTCTCCTAGATTCATACTTTGTACATTCCACGTTAAGATTACTAATGGATGTTTGCAGCTATTTCTTCTCATTTTGAGTCATGCCACATCAGCAAATGAAGGTCCTAGAAGCTTACTCCATCCACATCATTAAGGTTGATTCTACATTGAGGAGGTATCGCTTCCCCAGTCATATTTTGAGTGCCTTCCAACCAGAGGGGCTCATCTTCTGGCACTATATTTGATGCTGTTCTGCTGCTATTCATAAGGTTTTCACTGGCCAATTTTTTCAGAAGTAGAATGCCAGGTCCTTCATCCTAGTCTGTCTTAGTCTGGTAGCTCCCCTGAAACCTGTTCCACCATGGGTTACTCTGTTGGTATTTGAAATACCAGTGGCATAGCTGCCATCATCACAGCAACATGCAACCCATCACAGTACGACAATCTGACAGACGAGTGGTGGTATTTGGCACGAGTGTATACATAAAGATAGAATTTGTACTTAACTATTTGAAATTGAGGAACCCTGGTGGCACAGTGGTTAAGTGCTTGGCTGCTAACTGAAAGGTCAGCAGTTTGAACCCACCGGCCATGTGGAATGTCTACATAGACCAAGAGGCAGTTGTTCGAACAGAACAAGGGGATATCGCATATTTAAAATCAGGAAAAATGTGAGTCAGGGTTATATCCTTTCACGATAATTATTCAATCTGCATCCTGAGCAAATAATAAAGAAGCTGGACTATATGAAGAATGTGGCATCAGGACTGGAGGAAGACTCTTTAACAACCTGTGATATGCAGATGACACAGCCTTGCTTGCTGAAAGTGAGGAGGACTTGATGCACTTACTGACAAAGATCAAAGACTACAACCTTCAGTATAGATTACACCTTGACATAAAGAAAACAAAAATCCTCACCACTGGACCAATAAGCAACATCACGATATATGGAGAAAATATTGAATTTGTCAAGGATTTCATTTTACTTGGATCCATAATCAACACCCATGGAAGAAGCAGTCAAGAAATCAGATGACATATTGCATTGGGCAAATCTGCTGCAAAAGACCTCTTTAAAGTGTTAAAAAAGCAAAGATGTCACTTTGAGGATTAAGATGTGCCTGACTGAAGCCTTAGTATTTTCAATCACCTCATATGCATGCAAAAGCTGGACAATAAGTAAGGAAGACCAAAGGAGAATTGATGCCTTTGAATTATGGTGTTGGCAAAGAATATTGAATATACCATGGACTACCAGAAGAACGAACAAATCTGTCTTGGGAGAAGTACAGCAAGAATGCTCCTTAGAAGTGTGGGTGGCAAGACGTCCTCTCATGTAATTTGAACATGTTATCAGGATGGACTAGTCCCTGGAGAAGGACTCATGCTTGGTAAAGTAGAGGGTCAGCGAAAAGGAGGAAAACCCTCAATGAGATGCAACAATGACCTTAAACACAGCAATGACTGTGAGGATGGTGCAGGACTAGGCAGTGTTTTGCTCTGTTATACACAGGGTTGCTATGAGTTAGAACCAACTTGACAGCACCTAACAACAACATTTGAAATTGCATTTATATCAGCCTATGACCCTCCTTCCTTCACTCCTTCCTTCTTTTCTCTGCCCAGGACTCCTTTCCAAGTAATCAGGGTCCACCTGTGGTCTCCAAGGCAATGGAGTGGTAAGATATTTTAAAGCAATCAGGATTCAGCTCTCTGGACGCCTTGGCTGTGCCTGGCCGAGGTCGCTGGCTGCTCACCTCTCAAAGTCCTATAAACCCTTCCCTTGAAGACCACAAACCTAACTCTTTCCTTACTGAAGCACCAACTCTTCCTCAGCCCCACCCCCCACCCCCTTAACCACTACACTGATTCTGTCCTGCAGCCTTATCTCACTCACCTCATGGTTCTGCTTCTTCCATTTACCTGGTAAAAATGTATTAGTTCCTTACAGTCTAACACTTTTGACAAACAGTGAACATTTATTAAACAGCTATCACAGAACTTCTTTAAAGCCTGTTTCTATCATCCACAAGGTTCTCCTGCCCTCCCAGCTTTGTGTCAGCTGCCTACCCCTTGAATCTCCCTCCACACCGCATAGAAATATCATGTTGGTCACACCACATAGGAATTTGTAGTGGATTGCCAGTGCTATGTCTGGAACTAAATCCAGAATGTGTGTTCTGACAGCATGATGGACCTTTGTCCTAAAAATAGTACCGTGATAAGAAGAGAACAAAAGAAAATGTGCTTGCATTTATTCCTATATTTCCCATTCTAACAGTACTAGTAGCTAACATTCTTGAGTTCTTATTATATACCAAATACCACAGGATCAATGGCCTGCCTGCCTTTCTTTCTTCCTTCCTTCCCTCCATTCTTTCATTCTTCCTTTCTTCCTCCCACCCATCCATCCATCTGGTTTTCTTCCCTGTACTTCCTAAACTCAACTGTTCATCCATCCTCCTGTCCTCTCAGGTGTACCAGAAGCCACCCTCATGAGGCCCCGCTTCCCCGCTTCAAGGTTATCAGTCAGAATGGCCCAAACGAAAGAGTTGGCTATCTCTGCTTAGCAGTGTTCTTCTGACCACCTGCTGAGAAGAAAACCGAATGAACTCATAGTGCTCACAGCCAGGTTAACCATAGATTACAGCATCTAATCAAGAAACCAAGGAAAACACAATGTCCAACCGCAAAAATCTCTGCTGAATGCATCATTCAAGCGTTGCCCATGTCAAGGACCCGATATTCCATATCTGCATTGGTTCCTCTTTGACCTTTAAAATGGCTATACTTTCAGATGTCCTATGCTGTGTCCAAATTTCTGGTATTTTAAACCACCTAAATTTATTTAATTATACTTATAATCACTGACATGTATTGAACACATTTTAGATACCAGAAATTACCTCTAACAATTCATATGCATAACCTTGCCTAATCCTTCCAACAACCCTATGAGGCAAATACTTTTTCAGTTGAGGACTGATGTTCAGAGATGTTAACTGACTTGGCCAAGAACACACACCAATTCTTTTTTTTTTATTTTTTTATTTTTTATTGTATTTCAGGTGAAGTCTTACAGAACAAATAGTTTCTCATGAAACAGAAGTACACATGTTGTTTTATAACATTGGTTAACAACCCCACAACATATCAACCCTCTAACTTCTCAACCTATTTTTTTTCTTTTTTTTTTTTTGGT